TAGGCGTAACGGCATGTGAAGCCTCTAGGTGAACGGGTTAAGAAGTCTGTACGTCTTTGTCACGTGTTCAGTTCTCTGAGCTGGGCACCCTGCTTGCAAGCTGTATATCAAATAAAATCTTCTGCTTCATCGAAAGAGTCCGTCTCTGAGAATTCCTTACTGGGTAAGAACCAAAACCATATCCTTCACAGATGATACCCTACTCTACTCTCCTTAACATCTGCATCAGTTAGGGATGCAAATGCTTGGAGAACATAATGGAATGTATGAGGACCGATAAATAAAACTCAGACCAGGCAACACGAGGGACTCGCAACCATATGGCAGCTGCAAGTACCCCACTCAATTTAGAAGCACCACAGATGCCTAACTCTGGTTGGGACTGTGGCACGAAAGGAGGATGAGCTCCCGCCTTCTTTTCTGTCACGTTTCCCTGACCCAAAACAGCCCATGAGAACACACGCACTGAATGTTTGCAAGTATAGCCTCTTCTAGACTACTGCTGTTTCAGTCAGGAAAACAGCACAGGGGGATAGGAACCTCTACTCCCCCCCACACTGTGGTCTCAACCAGAATCTGGCTCCTGCAGCACTTCTAACTTGAATTCCCACAGGGAACTCACAGTTGGTGTCCTGTTGCAAGCCCCTGTGAGGATGGCATGGCAGACATAACAAACATTTTGGCCCTGGAGACTGCTCTTCAGTGCTGGCCACAGAATCAGGAGTCAGTCCGTAATGATACCATGTTTTGGGGTGTGTCTTTAAATGTTGAGTTTGATTGCAGTACTGTAAGAAGAGGGAGACAACTGTGATTTGGTTGGCTGATAACTGAATGTGGGAGATGTTCTGAGAGGAATCTGTGTGTGTGTTTTATGACAGAGAGTTCTGTGTACGCTTCTTTGGAAAGTGACGTGTGGAAGAGCTATGAAGAGGGTTTGTGTGACTCTAAAGGTTTTGTGAGAGAGTCCATATGGCAAAAAAACAAGTAGTGTCTAAACTGTGTGGTTAGACAAATGTTTTATCTTGTGTGCCTAAGACAAAGAGCTTAGCCAGTGTGGCTACATATATGAGAGACAGAAGCCTGTCAGCGTGGAATTTTAGTGTCTGAGAGACTGTGTGTGACACCTTGCCAGTTATATTTACAAGTTCCTTTTTCCAGTTCAAGATAACCAGAAACCTATTTTGTTCTTTATTCAATAAACCAATTTTTATGGACTTTCAGTTTAATGGCAACCTGCTAGTGGACGCATTCCCTGGACCTCCCAGGGAGGCGATCCGCGTGCTGGCGGTTTGGAGGGAGGACAATTGTTCACACCCAGCCCCGGAGCCTTGGTGAAAGGCTCCTAGCCATGGAGCTTTTGAGGGGTGGCCTCTTCACCAGCGCGATGCTGGAGAATTGAGGCGCTCCTCTGCCCCGACGGTCCAGCCATTGGGCGTCCGAATGGAAATAGAGACGCCGACCGGGACAAGCGTTGGAGACTAGGTGTTGTAAACATACCTGTGACGAGGTCTCCGGACCACGAATGAACAGTGAGTCAAGTTTAACGCAAACACCAGGATTATAAAAGAAAGCCCCCTGGGATCGGCGAGACTAGCGAGCAGGGGAGGGGCCCCTCCCATACGCATGAGTAAAACAGCGATCTCCCAGGGGGGGCGGAACTATAAGCGCTAAAATCTGTTCTGAAGAGTACACAAGAGCGTGAATAAGCACTTGGCCGAATTGCAGAGACTTTAGCAAAACTTTTAAAAAGTAAACAATCCATAAAAATGGCACTGAGAAAAGCAGAGAAAGAAAGGCAGGCGAAAATGAAACCGGCTGGAAGCATGAGCCCCTGACTGGAAGACACCACAGAGTTTTCTAAGTTGCTGGCGGACTCTTTGCGCCCTCTACTTGATCAGATGACGAATATCAATCAACAGCTGACAACATTAAACCAGAACTTTGCAGCTCAGCAGCTCCAACGGAATGAAACTACCAAAAAGACGGAGCAAACAGCTGAGAAGGTGAAGGAAATGGATGCCAAATCCAAAAAGGTTAATAAAAGGGTGCAGTTACTGGAAAAGAAGCAAGTTTCTGACTAATATCAGCTCATGCAGCTACAAATGGAAAAAGCCAACATAGTTCTCCAGTTCCAAGGTGTCCCTGAGGCTAAAGATGAGAATCTGAAACAACTTCTGAGTGATGCGCTTGCCCCAATTGCAGATTTAAAAACGGACTATCTTATAAGCGAAATGGATGTGGCTTATAGAGCCTACTCTGTATACATCAAGAAAAATAATCTTCCTGGGGAAATAGTGGTAAGATTCTTGAAGAGACATGTGTGGGATCAAATACTGAAAGCAACATCAGGAGCACCCTTAAAAATTGGAGACAACACCATCGGAATTCTAAAAAATATTCCTTTTGAAATAAGAAAAAAGAGACAGAAATATAAGGACTTTATTATGTTCTTGCAAACAAACAGCATTCCTTACAGGTGGTTGATTCCCGAGGGCGTCCTTTTCAAATTAAAGGATAAAAAAGAAAAAATTGACTCTGTTTCTAAAGCACGTGAGTTTCTGAGACTGCAACTGGGAGATTCGGGAGAGGACGGCAGAGAGGACGAGAACAGCAAACCTAGCAAGGATTCTTCCGACGAGGACTCTGCTTCTGAAAAGGAGCCGGCAGCCCCCAAACACAATTATCAATTGAGGATAAGAAAAGATAAAACAAAATAATGGCTGAAGAACTCTGAATTGTGCCTTATAAGCTTTTATTATCAATGATGCTCTGGTGACTCTCTTAAAACAGTGTAACTAATCGATACAAAGACTAATATCATAGCTTAATCAAGTGAAATGATCTCCTATACTTGGGGTTTTAATTAGTAGTGGTTTTCTTTCCTTTCTCCCTTTGATGTATTTGTCCCCTCCCTTTTTTCATTGTAGTTTGTAGTCTATAGAAAATGCAATAAAAAATCCCCTCTGGGGGGCTAAAAATAAAAATCAATCAATTTTTATTTAAATATATCCCAGAAATCAGTACGGTCCTTCCTCAGGGCCACATAGCCCTGTGAATTGCCCAGACCCTGGGTCATACTACCAAAAGAGAGAGAACTGGAATATTTAATTCCTGGTGGCAGCAGCAAACTACCAAGTGTATATAACAGAGGGTGGTTTAAAGGAAAAACAGTCTCACCCTGTAAGCAAGCACGCCACACAGTCCATTCCAGAAGGGGCTGCACACACCCTGAAATATCAGGCTTGGGGTCTGGGGGAGGGAGGCAGCAGCTTAATCTGGGCCTAGGGTTGGAAGCTCAGGTTCTCTTCATAGCAAGTGGCTCCTTTTACCAGCTTCAGCTTTTCTCTGTGTGCTTCACAGTGCACTCACTGTACTGCACCACAGTTCCCTCTGGAGTATTTTCTGCAGATCCTCCCTTAACTCTTCCCTCTATGATGCTCTCTGCATCTGACTTCATATGCACCATTCCCCCCTTTCTATCCAACATTTTACTGCATCCCCTCCATCTTTATTTCTCCATCAAACCCATAGATATTAGTCCTTGTTCCTCTGAATCACAAATCCGTTTATATGAGTTACCCACTTCCCCCCCTCTTTCCTCTTCACAGCACATATTTTCCTCCCTGTACCCCTTTCTTTCTGTATTCCCACCTACAAATCTCTCTAGATCCCTTGCTACCTCCCTTTCCCCTCTGAACTGCCACAGGTATCTTTGCACCCTGACCTCTGTTGTTACCCCACTTCCCATTCTGTACTTCCATTTCTCTGTGAATCCATCAAGTCTCCCATGCTCTTTTTCCTTCAGTCTCTTTATGCTGTGTTTCTGCAAATAAACATCTGTACATATTCACTTTTAACTCTACCCCTTCTCATTAGTTTTGGACGCAGTTGTACACAAAGCTTTCGGCGTCCAAGCAATTCACACAATGAATGATACCACTGATTCTGCACTATGGCTGGACATCCATAATAGTATGGAAAAACTGGCACTTCTGAATTCTGGGAAAGGAGAAGCTTGGCAGATGAAGTGATACAAGCTTTTTCCTTCCCATTTTCTAAGGGGTTTAGGTAGAAAAGGGATGCAAACAATGGGTTTTTGGAACTCTCCTGGGGTCCACAATCATCTCGCGTTGTATGGGCTTAGTTTAAGAGATGTCATATTTTAGAGCACAGACACAGTTTTAAGTTTGGGTCAGGGAGTTAATCTTCCTCACTCCATTACTTTTTTCTAACTTGAAATTATCCCATGGAACTACTATCTGTCCAACTGGGGAAAACATCAAAACTGCAGCTCTGTGGGGCATTCAAATCAGAAAAAAGTGTGGGGTGTGTGCGCACTCATGCATGCGCGGAATGGCAATACAATTCCCTTGCAACACAGCCGTGACCTCGATTAGACCTGTGCATAACTGCTACTGAAAGACAAAAGGACATGGTCACTATTCATGCAGTTGGGCATCACTTATGGTTTTGTCCCTTATTCCAGTCTCAATACAAATTCTGACATACAAAATTTTGCATCTGATCTGAATAACTGGTCTGATAAAAGGCCACCACTTCAACATAGTCTGTGTCACTGGCTCTAAGCAATGTAGCAAAAATTCACTATAACATTTTGTAAGAGAAAAACTAAGGCTGCCATGCTAATATGCTTATCTGAAGGTCACGTGGGACATGCTTCTAAACAAATATTATAAGGACTGGGACTAAGCCATTAGCAAAGTTAACAGATTATTTCATTTCCTTTAATAGGTACTGAATTGCTGGTATACTTATTTCACCCTGATACACTGTGAAGAATTGGTCAAGGAACTTCTTTGAAAGCCACACTTTAGAAATTAAATCCTAAGAGTAGGAAAACATTCATTCATCACCTAAAAGTTTCAGTTAATTAACCATTCAGTTTAGTCAAGAGCAATATTTTCCCCAAGCCTCCAATGCTATTACCCAACCGGGACAGAGGACAAGCAGAGATTAGTAATGATGAATATATCACTTACCATCTATTTTATTGGAACTGTACACTACAGTGTTGGCAGCATGTGTGTATCTGATGAGATCCACTCCATACTTTTTACTGTACAGTGTTCTCCTTGGTCTGCCAAGAGGAAATACAAGAACAATTATATCATCTGTTTCAACACAAGAACTCTGCCAATGCCAGCCATATCAAAGCCTTTTAAAAAGAAACTGCACACCATAAATCAGTAAATCAGATAGTGCTGTCTTGACTTTAATTACAGAAAAAATGAATGGCGAGTAACCTAATAGACTAACAAATCTTTATTAAATCCTGGCTTAAGCAAATTAAAGATGCAGGATTAGCAATAGCTCCCAATGAACAAGAAAAAACTATAACAAAGTCCCAAATTCTACCAGAACAGGGGACTTTTCAAGACTTGCAGGAGAAGGAAATCCCGCCCCCTCCAATTTTTTTACCACTTGATCAAAATGAGACCAGGGAAGAAGGAAAGAAAGTGGTGACCACAGTGGGAACAGAGAGGGAAAGGCAGCTTCCCCCACTAGGCAGTGAACTGGGGAGGGGTTAGAGCTGGAGGGGAGGGAAAGGAAGCCTGGAGCAGAAAGCCAGTCCTGTGTACCTCCTGCTCCAAGCAGCCCTCCCCATCAGCTGATCAAGAAGTCTGGGTTGCTTTTTCAAAGAATTTGGACCTCTAGGGGTGGGTGTCCTTCACAGATCCTAAGATCTTGCCAAAATCCATCATGGTTAGTGGACCAAAAAGATTAATAAATGGACCACAAGGTATACCGGGCATTTCCCCCAACTGTCACTGCTCTATAATAATCAGCATCCTGACTGGAATGTGTTTTTTTTAAAAAAAAAAATTAAGCAAACTGAGTGAACTTTTGGCACTGATTTTACAGTATTCTCATGTGTTACTCTTAAGAATGTTTCCTGCAATGGAACACAACTGTAGAACATCTGCAGTACCTTAGGATTAGACTGAATATATGAAGAAATCAACTACTACTACTGCCTGGGAAACAGGTCTCTGTAAATCTGCTTGCCAAGGCAGGAAAGCTCAGCAATGTTGAAATGCCCCATAGGCTACTTGCCTGTTCCAAAGCCCAGCACTGCTAATTCAGTCCTGTGTAACCCTGAAAAACCCTGCTTTTCACATAGCAGACCCAGAAGCAATGAACAAAATACATCCTGCTCAGCTGAAAAGACCTGACTGTATAACCTTTGTAGATTGCCTACTTCAAAACTCACTGCAACACAGAAATCATAAATCCCTCCTAAAGAATATGGGATTGGGAAGAACTGGGGCAACCACAAAAAATGGAAGAGCTATTAAACCAAGCCTGTATCTGTGGACCCTTTCTTAGGAAATCTATATGCAAATCTCTCATTCTAAACAATCATCTTAGCAGTTTGATTTCTAGTAATCTACGTTATCATGACAAGATGATGACTTCCAATCAGTCTCCTTTTTAAAAATCACAGCTGCATACGGCAGGCTGAAAGATAATGAGTGTCATTATGAGTGTCAGATTTTAACCTGGGTTTTCTACACTGAAAGCTATCCTTCCAGACACTATACATTACAAAATCTCTTTCAGAAGTCAGATTATATTATCTGCACAGTTAACACAAAAAATTGCATTTTATTTCCAAACATTCTGGATTCTCCCTCCCCCCCCCAAAAAAAAACAACAGGTGGTGATGAAAATTAAAAGAATTTTATTGATAACTGAGAGGCTGTTTTGTGTCACTTTCACTTAGAAGGCAAGAATTACTCCTCCCCCAGACATTATACTCATAACAAACTGTCACAAGTCCAAAAAGTGAGGCACACTGGAAATACTAAGCACCAACCCCACACCACTACACACTGCATATGGCCTGAGGAAGATACACTAGAACGATGAACCCAAAGCTTCAAAACTTTGTCTCAACAAAAGAAAGGCAGGGGTGAAAAAGAGTCTCAGGCAGAGGTCGATTCGGGGGGTTCGCGGGGGATCGCCGTTCCCCCGGGTGAGGTGCGGGGGGGCGGGGCACACGAGCGGGCGGGCAGGCAGGTGACAGGGGCCGCCAAGCAGGCGCCCGGAGTCCGGTTCGGGTTTTGCCTGCAGCCGCGCTCGGCCCGTCTGAGGCTGTAGAGGTGGGTTCGCTGGCGAAGCGAGCGGAAGAGTCACCACCACTGCTGCCGCCCCCGCCTTAAACAGCTCCAACTTCTAGGCCGAGCCGCCCCAACCTTTTCATGCCTGTCCGCCCCCTCCCCGGATGTGCTCGACGGGGAGGTGGCTGCCCGCGGGGTCCCTTTCTACACCGGGATCCCTCTTGGGCAAGTGCTGAGCCAAGCCTCGCCGCCACCGCCGCCCCCCCACGCGTGCCAAAGAGCCGCTGCTGCCCTGCATGCCAGGGCCAGACCGCAAGCCTGGCTCCGGCGCGTGGCGGGGGGCAGCACAAGGCTCTGAAGCACGGGGACGGCGCGCCTGGAGCGGCCTGGGGGGGCACTCTCCTGGGTGCCATGTGGGACCGGGAGAGGGAGGAGGGGGAGGCCCCCCCGGAGCCGCTGGGAGCCTGGCCGGAGGCCGGGTGGGAGAAAAGGCTTCATTTCTGCCCCAGGAAGGGAACCCGAGTCTCCCCCGAAGGGGCTGCACCGGGCGGAGTTGCGGTCCGAGCCGGCCGCTGAGCTTGTCTGACGGGGGGGGGGGGGTCCCCGGGGGAGGTGGCAGGTAACCTGCCGGCAGCCCGACGAAAGGCAAGTCCCAACAGAGCGAGTCCTTCTCCTTCAGGAGCCTCCGCAGATGCTCTTCCAAGGCGATTTCTCACCAGACTTTTCTCACCTGGTCCCTCGTCCCTACCCCGGCCTGGCCGCCTGTTAACGGCAACAGAGAGCCATCCCCGAGGAGGCGTCTGTCTATTCCGGTGGGAAGAGATCAGGGGCTTCCTGGTCAAGGCCCGGCGGGGGGGGGATCTTTTGCGTGGAGGGGCGCCACGTCTCCCTTCCGAGGGATGGAGTCGATTTTTTCTCTCTGGTTTGTATCTCGCCAATCCTCCGAGGCCTTGAGTCGGGCCTGCATGCCCCCCCGCCCTGATTTCCTTCTCCTCTTGCCCCTGCGTGAGGCAGGCAAGACATCCCCCCCCCGGCCTCTCAGGGAGCTCCAGGGCAGACTGGGGATCTGGACGCCGGACAGGCTCCGAGGTCGATCAGGGGACAATGGACACACCGCCCCAGCTAAATTCTCTGATGAGAGCTGGGTCGAAAAGGAAATCCGCTCATTTCTTCTTTATAATTTGCAAACTATAGATTTATCCGGCTTCACTGGGTGACTTCGGGCCAGTCACTGCCTTGCAGTGTTGCTGTGAACGTCGGGGGGGGGAGTAGGGAGTGCGCAGGGAGGGCCCCAGCACGTGCATCACTCTCCCCCCCCCAGACGGCCAGTTGGGAAGTCTCCAGGCCCCACCGGGAGGTTGGCATTTGAGGGGGGCGCCACGAGGCGGCCTCGCCTAGGGCGCACAAACCCCTCGGGCCGGCCCTGCTTCTCCTCCTCCTCTCCTCTTGCTCCTCAGCCGACAGCCGCACCTGGTCCGTCGCCTCCGGATCGCCCCATCGCCGGTAGGTGCCCGAGGCTGCCCCGGGGCCTCTGCCATGGGGCGGGGAAGGGGGGAAAGTCTGGCGGAAACGTTTGCTGCAGCAAGAGAGGGCGAGCGAGAGAGCGCGAGTCGCCTTGCCCTTGCGGGGCTGGCTTGCGGCCTTATGACACACTTCCGGTGATGTCAGGGGGTGTGGCATATGCAAATGAGTTATGCTAACGAGTTCCCCTAGTTCTTTCTCTACAAAACAACCCCTGGTCTCAGGTATGTTGTTTCATGGTTTGTTCCTCAAGCTGCTGAGGCCAAACAATTTAATTAGTAAATTGCTACAGTATTTGAACAGTGTTAAGTGCAAAAACATTTATCATACATGAATGTAACAAAAGAACACAAGTCTGGGGGAAGGGGAGACACAAAAATACTAGACTATATAAACAGAATACACAGAAAGGCATGTCAATGAAGAGGAGTTAAAGAACATGATACACACACCCAGATTTTATTTCATTTACACAAACCTGGCAAAGAAGCTTTTTCAAGAAGACACACAATTTTTAAGTTAGGTTATCCTACGAAAGCAAATGGTCTGCAGTTTTCCACTACAATTACTAGATCAAGGTCTCCAACCTTTTTGAACCTACAGGCACCTTTGGAATTCTGCTACAGGATGATGGACACAACCAAAAAATGACTGCTGCAAGAGGCCAAATGATCCACAGCATGTCAGGGAGTGAGCTTATGCACAACTCTAATAGCAACTCTTCAACATTTTAGGCAAAAAGCAGTGCTTAACAAGATTTTTTTTTAAAAAATAACCTTACTGTTTTAAAGTATTTTGTTGCTTACACAGTTTACCTTCAGACATACAGTGAAGATCCTTATGCTGTGGTGGCAGCTGCTGCTGAAAGCAATGTTTTGGGGGTTTTTTTTAACTACTCAGCCTACCAGATCTCCAATGGCCAGTAAGAAGCCCTGCTAGGCACAAGCCCCATCTGGCCCCACCCACTTTCTAAACACATCTGGCAGGGACCACAAAAAGAAGTTGGCAGGAACTATGTTGGGGACCTCAGTGCTAGCCTCCCACCACAGAAGAAGAGTTGGATTTATACCCTGTCCTTCACTTGGACTCTCAGAGTGGTTTACAACCTCCTTCCCTTCCCCTTCCCACAACAGACACCCTGTGAGGCAGGTGGGGCTGAAAGAGCTCTGAGAGAACTGTGACTGGCCCAAGGTCACCCAGCTGGCTGCATATAGAGGAGTGGGGAATCAAATCCAGTTCACCAGATTAGAGTCCTGCTGCTCTTGACCACTACACCAAACTGGTTCTTAGTAATCTGGATTGCTCACATTAAGAAGATGAAAGCAGTGCAGCCAAGGCAGAGGTCACTATATAGAAGAAGAAGAAGAGATTGGATTTATACCCCGCCCTTCACTTGGAGTCTCAGAGTGGCTTACAAACTCCTTTCCCTTCCCCTCCCCACAACCGACACCCTGTGAGGTGGGTGGGGCTGAGAGAACTCTGACACAAACTGCTC